ATTTCAGCACATAACACCACCAATGATCATTGTTATAGTTGGAGCAAAAATCTAAAACATAAAAAACTCTTGTTGATTGAATTTTAACTTTACAAAATTAAATGTTAGGCAAACTATGCATACTTACAAATTCACAAGTCAATAACTGTTACACTGGAATAATTGTATTTAGATAAAAAAATGAGTATTCTTTCATTGTCCAGGTCGGTGTTTTACCTTTGTGAATATTCATTTGTTCAATCACATGTGTATGTGAAAAGGTATAAAATACAATAAAAAAATCACAATCAATCATACCAAGAATTGAAAATAAAAAGTCATATATTGTCACCAATCACATTAATTTGGTCATACATCATTACATTAGTTGCAAACAGCATACATAACCTAACAAACGATATCATATTAATAAATATATTTTATTAAAACATATTTAATTACACTTTCTTTAATGAAAAACTAGCCATATTGTCAATTTTACCCCTCAACTTTAACTCTCTAAGTTCTGAATGATCAATATCTACCTATACACTTCCACTACAACACTAAAATAAAATAATAAATTTCATTACTAATTATAATAAATAAATTGAATGAATAAAATAAATTTTATTATATATTAACTGATTTTCATTATAAAAATTGGTGGTGCAAAACTTATACAATTTATACATTTCATCATGCCCACCAATTTCATACTTTCCCATGTTTGTACCTTTGGTAGGACTTGTACAACTACTTTTAGATGTCCCCTTCGCCTTTATGGATGAGTTATTGATGTTTTTCCCAATATTTTCTTTTAAAATTTTGATCTCACGTTCAAGTTGAATAATTCTTTTTTCATTCTGTTCTGTTTTAGATCTCCATATGCGCTCCTCAGACAAGAGTTGTTGAAACTCATGCGAGGCACCATCAGAGGAAGGTATTTTTACATTCTTATTTTGTTGAAAATAGCAAAGCTTCTCGCACAACTTCAATTGTCTCATCTTCCATAGACACTGCCCAATCCCATACAATCTAATAAAAGGAAGACTTTATATGTTAATAACATAATAGAATAGTTCCACATTTTAAAGAAAAATTAATATATATTCTACACAATATTTCTTACGTTGTTTGAGATGAATGCACTTTGTATTTTTGACATTCGAATCTTTACTTTGGGTCATTCAACAAACCGCGGAAAATAGATCTTTCGTTGTGGATCAGTAGGCAAAGACAGGTGATCCACTACCCAGATCTATGATAAAATTCCATGTCATAAGTCACAATAACTTTGTACCAACCAATAAATTAATGATTTGTAAGAACCGTAGCATTATTAGGTACAAAAGTTACCTGTAAGACAGCAACACAACCAACAACGTATAATTCTGAAGCATTCTGTTACTGATTTAAGTTTTTACTAGCACGACGCAAACTATCAACTAATAGACCGTGCACAACATAACCCCAATTATAATCATTCAATGTCTCTACACAATCTAATAAACTAAAAGGAATACTATGAACAATGCGAGATGTGCGAGAAAAATAAAATACTGCCCAACCAAGTAAGATATAAAACCTACAAAAGTCAACTACATATTTATTATTATTATTATTTTTTTTTGCTTGAAGCTTCCAAACTATATTTGTTACTATTATTTGTTCTTCTTCAAATAAATCTTTTACTAAACATGTATCACTACCTTCTAAAGCAACTACCTCCCTCCTTATGCATATACCTAAAGCAAGCAGACAATTACAGGGGTGAATGGGACAAGATATTGTTTTATTCTAAAACAATTATCACTAACTGACCATCGACAAACTAATTCTCTTATAACGTTACTAAATATTTGCAATGATTCTTTTATTTGAAGTAGTCATTTAAAGGGAATTTCTTTAATAGCTACTCGTTGGCGTGTAGTCATCTTTGCATTTATTTCAGGTATATACTCTGTATCAACCTTGTGTCTTAGTCTTATCTACACATATAACATATATAACATACATAACATATAACAAATTACATATTTAGTACATCACTTTTGATAAAATAACTATAATTAATATACATATATTTTGTTCTCGTCACGACAATCTTTTTTTCATATATTTTTTATAAAACTACTTCCATTACAAATTAATAAAATTAACCTTACAATGACAAAATACTAAATAATTGTAATAACCTAAACTAACATTATAAGTCTCGTAACTTTAATAAAGTAAATATTAGATGGTGTCTAACAATATAAGACTACAATAAACAACAATAACCTAAACTAACATTTCAAGCATACAAAGGAACAACAACAAATGACAAGGAGGTCCACCCATAACTTGGCTCAAAGGATCATGGTGCAAGTTAGGACCTTTACCTCCAAAAGACACACTTTGTAATGCAAGTAAAGTGATATACATATTTGTTGGGTTGCTAGCACAATATAGGCCACCAAACAGTCATTCCCTACTTTTTTTAGCTATTTCAATTCAAATTCCAACAACAATGCATTTATTCTTAAATTTCTAATAAACACCAAAAAATCATTAATCTTTTATACGGTTCTATTCTCTTATTTTCATTACTATTTTCCTATTTTCAAACTCCCATAATCTAATCTCATCTACAAAAACTCAATTCATACAAAAGGGATGGTAGAGCAGGATTTTAAGAGACCTTCAACACTATGCATTTTAAACCACCATGACTTATCTTTCAAGTCAACATGACCCTTCTCTACAGCTTCCTTCCACCAAGCTTGGAGTTTAGTATCTTCTTCAACTGCCTCTCATTTGCAAAAAATAACAAATTCCAAACCTAAAGCTAAAATTCAGATAACAAAAAATTGAACCTTCTTCATTGTACCATTTCATCAAGCATCATTTTAATATTGTATCCCAACTCAAGTAACAACACTTCCATAACAAAGCATGTACAGACAAAAAAGAAAAATTCATCAAAACATAGAACGAAAAGAGTGAAGTATCATAAACACAAAACACTTTCGCATGAATAGTATAAAATAAAGGTTTAACACCGGTTAATCATCCACACACTATTTTACCATGTTTATCAACCAGAGAAGAGAGGGATAGAGAACTGTAACAAATATTCAAAGAGGATGCAAAACCAGAACTGTGCCGGAGACAACCACGGTGCCGGAAAAACTCAAACTTTGCTGCACTCGTCCGGAAACTCTGTTGGGAAAGGGCTTCAAGGGAGCGACAAAATTCAAAAATGGTGAGAACATGACGAAGAGCGGAACACTTTCCTCTCTATATCTGTCTTTCGCAGCTCAACCTTTCACCTGCGAAGGTCAGCAGATTCATAAGAGCGGGAGACTCTTTGGCTTCAAAATGACCCTCTTGCATATTCACACCAACAACCCTCCCATATCTCTTAGTTACAATTTTTACTCTTCAAAATTACAAATAAACCCATAAATTTTAATAAAATCATATTTTAATCCCCAAATTGTAGTTTGGATGTTTAAACATCGATGTCAACAAATCATTTTCGTTTTTTTTACTAGATTATGCAAAAAAAAAAACAATAATAAAATTTGGATCAACAAAAGAATTAGGATTATGCAAAATTTGAGATTTTGAAAAGAATTCACTTTTGTTATTAAACCTAATAATCACATTTCTAAATTTAACGACTCTGAATTTGTTAAACTATGAAAGAGTTAATATTTACTCTGATATAAAATTAGATAAACTACAATATATGCATGTAATTTCATGTCTTACAAAGAAGAAACCTATTAAGAATAAATTCAGAAAAAATATATAAAAGAATGATGATAAAGTGGATATTATAATACTTATAGGTGTTAATGAGAAAGAATTATTTCTGTTAATTTTATATAATTAGTCCATTAAAATCACTTGAATTAATGAATTATACAAAACAATTCCTTTATGTATAAAATTTCGTTTTTTTTTTCAATTTAGGTACCTTATAAGCATTTATGTCTTCAATCTATCATCTTTATTTGGGGTTTTAAAATGGATCCCATAAAAATAAATAAAATATAAAATTAATAAATTTATTTATATTATTATTGTGAAAAAATTTTAAATAAAAAAATTTGTCTAGATTATATTTTATTTTAAATGATGAAAATATCCAAAATTACGCAATATACTTATATATAAATGTAAAATACAATGACAATGAAATGTTTTCTTATATGCACATTTATCGCAAACATTAGTTTGAGCATCAGAATCTTTGTAAATATGTATTTTCTTTTATTTTTTATTGATATTTAAATAATTCATCTTTCTTAAACATCAATCCTATAAATATAAAAAATTAATTATTATTATTATTATTAATGGAAATATATGGGTTATATATTTATTTATCAAATCTACCTCTTGCTTCTTTACAAATGGCTGGAATTGCTTGAGAGTATATGCTTGTTTGTTTAGATTAATTTCTATTTAATTAATTTATTATTTTTTACGCCTTTATATAAAAATAAAGAATGTTAAGTTATTATTTAATCTGAAGCAAGCAATTTAAACAGTTTAAGATAATCTTAAATTCTAAATTTAATAGCACAACTACACTAAACTAAAACTTTTTTTCTTTCTGAATATATTTTAAATATAAAAATTTAAACAAAACAAAACCGTTTGATTATCTTTCTATTATTTATTCTTTTAATGGGAACTCTATGTATTTTCAATAACGACAGCGTTAAAGGTAGTTTCTTTTCATTCAATTTCCCTCAGGACAAGCAACGTAGTATTCTTCGTGTCAAGTTCGTTCCTTGTTCCACCTTCCCACCACCTAACATATACACACTTCACTACAACGGTTTCAACTCCACTACCCATAATCAAGCTATCTCACTCATTTGAGCTAAGAAACCAAGCCACATTGATTGCTGTTCACTTCACTTCCCAATCTCCATGTTCCATTTGGCATTCGTGTTTGCTTCCGAATCTTTAAGGGGCAGAGAATAACAGCTTCTCTTGGTTTATGAGAGAAGGAGGCAATGAACACTTCATTTTTGGAGATTAGGCTTGGTGCTTCTTTGGAAGGTAACAACACTACCAGAAGGGCTTTTCCCATAAGCAAGAGGTGCACTGTTTCTGTTATCAATGGTTGTTACCCAATGAGGCAAGCTTTTAGGTTTTGTGTACAAAATGTAGACTTGTTGAGGAAACACCATGTTTCCGCAAGGGGGTGTAGGTTTAAATGTTTCAAGGAAAAGGGACCATCCTTTTCTTTCAGTGTGAGTTATTTCACCCCATTGTCGAAGGAGGGGCTTCTTTTGATGAGGGCCTCTGTGTACACTGCTGTTATATCTGGTTTGTGTTTTTTGCTTTGGTTTGGAAGGAATAAAGCCAAGGGGTTCGTTGAAGCCAATATCTTGCCTTCTGTTTGTTCAATGATCAGTGAGTCTATTCAGCGTGATGTTTGCTTTGGCAAGGTTACAAAATTATCGCCATTGAGTGTGACATTGGAGTCATTTTCATTAGGGCCACATGAAGAGGAATTATCGTGTGGTGAGGCTCCCACTGTTAAGATTCGTTTTCGCCTTCTTGCGAGTCTGTGGAGGGGGAAGCTTGTGTTTGATGCAGTTTTGTCACATGCGTGTGTCATGGTGGTGCAGAAGAGGGACTATAGTTGGTTAGGGATACCAGTCTCTCAAGAGGGCATTCAGAAGCGATTGTCAACCGAAGAGGGACTTGATCATCGCACTCGGGTGAGGAGGGTTGCACGTGAGGAGGCCGCAGCAAAATATGCGAAAGAAAGGGATGATGCAGCCAGGGAAGCTTCAGAGATGGGTTACTTTGTTTCTGAGAAGAATTGTGGTCCATCCAAGGATAATGATGACTTAAGGGAGATTGCAACTCATTCAGCAGGAGGAACAGACTTCAAGGGGTTTTTCTGTATGAAGGAGGTGGAGCAGCATGGTCATCGTTGTGTGGACACAGGTGTTGATTATGATACGAAGCATGGTGATTTGGAGAAGGATTTTTTGGTGAAATTCCCTGGAAAAGGACTTAAGTTTTGGTCCAGAATCATTAAAGGGCATAAAAATCACAAGTGTAAACGGAAGGCTAAAAGGAGTGACATCAGTGCATCTGGTATTGCTCTTAGAAACAGAATTCTTGAACGTGGTGCATTTGCCGCAAATGCATATTTTCGCAGTCAATCATATGGGCAGTTTGAGCGGCCTTCATCATCTTCTAAAGACCATGATATGCAGTTGGTGAAAAGTGATGTTGACAAAAAAGCTGCATCTTTTATCCGTGCTGATGATAATAGAAACAGTGATAATCAGAATGATACGCAACTCAGAGGTCTGGGAATCTGGTCTCCTTCGGCAAATGAAAATACTGGTCATTCAAATGATTTAAAATTTTCCAGTGATCTTCCTTCAAAGACAAGGGAGAGTAAACATGGAAATTTACAATCTAGTGAAAAAATTGCAGAACATGGCAATGCAAATATTAGTACAGAGAAAGAGGAGGAGTTGGGACATCATGTTGCTCAAAGTCTAATTGATGGCTTTACTTCTTGTTTTAGAAACATTAAGGAATTGACATCTTTCTTCCTGTCTGGTCCCATTAAAAAGTTGAAGTCTGAAATGGGTCTGAAAGTTGAAGATATTGTTTCAGAAAATGTAGATGGGTTAAATGTTCTGCAGTCTGAAGGCTTTACTAAAAATTTTCCTGTTACATTTGATTCTGTTCATTTTAGAGGTGCAACTGTCATGCTACTTACATATGGTGACAGGGAAGTTAGGTGAGAGCCATTATCATTTATTACGGAAATGAAATGATGAATAGACCTGTTTACAGACATAAAATTTTAATATGATATAGGTGTTTAGAGAGGTTCTGTTAACTAGCTAAATGCAATTTACTCTGTTCTTTAGCAGTATGATAGTTGATTCATCTTTCAAAAGTTTGGCATTCTTTGATTAGCCATATTTAAACAAAGTTAACCCAGGCATTAGAAGAAAGATAGGGGTATTGGTAATCTGTATATTGTATTTGATTGGAACTCTCTCTATCCCTTATATAAGATGCTCAAAAACCCTTAATCAATCCACTGTATCTCTTTCCTTCTGGTTGCTTTCCATCTTCCGGGAAATAATTAATTTAGATTTTCCTTTTCCCCGTTTCTGTTATACTCTGTATGTGCATTTTGTGTATGTGGGTTGTGCTTGTGCTTATGCTGAGATGCAACTGAATATAACCTGATTCAACATTTTCTGCTGATTGTATCAAATACTCAAGCTGTCAATGAACAATAATACACTATTCGAAACTGAATTTAACATCCATCAAGTAATAGGAGCTCAACCTTGGTCTTAGATGAACCTTTTGTGGGTAAGCTTTATCTCATGTTGCTTTTTGGCATATTGAGATGAGAATATTCTATGGATTACAGCAACTTTGGTTTCACTGCGAAAATCTTGAAGCAGTAGCTGGGTTTCTGTTCATTTAATTGCAAATTAAGATTGGATATAGATTTTGCAATATGAGAATTAAGTTTGACTTGTTACGTTGGTATAACAGATTATGTGACCATTTATCTTGTTATGTTACTTGTATCTTCTTGAATTGGATTCATCGGAATGATGCTGAACTTTTCAATTTGTTAGCATTGTAGTTAATCTTCATATTGTAGGATAAAAAGGTGAGATGTGAACACTTTTTAAGTAAAATCTTTTTATTATTGATCATAAGCTTGTCGCAAGTAGGTGATTATAATTTGGTTATATTTCTGGTTGATATTAGATTTCCAACACATTCCCTTATATTGATGATATAGGTGATCCAATAGTGGGTGGTAGTCCCAACAAACATCACTAGGATAGACTTTGATACCATATTAAAAAATGGATTTGGGCCTAATTCAACCTTACAAAATTAACTTATAAGGTAAGATTTGCACTCCCATATATTTGTTATATAGTTAGGTTCTGATACCATCTTAGAAAGTTGATTTGGACCCCTAACTCAACCTTGACTTAAAAGGTGAGAATTGCACCCCACATAATTTAACCATATTTCTAGTCGATGTTAGATATCCAATTGTTGTAAATATTAAAGAGTTGGTTTAATATTGGAATTGAAGTCTTATTTTGAAAATTATGATTGACATCAATTTAAGTGTTCTTGATGTTTCACTTTCAGGGTAATGGAGAATGTCAATGGCCATATGAAGTTTCATAACAACTACAACCGAATAAAGTTAAAACTGAGTGGAAATTGTAAGACTTGGAGATCAGATGATCTAAGTGAAGGTGATGGCTGGTTGTCTGTTGATGTTTTTGTTGACATTATTGAACAGAAATGGCATGCAAATTTGAAAATTAACCATTTTTTTGTCCCGGTAAGGTATATAGTAACTTGGAGTTTCAATATTTTGTCATTTTCCTATATTTCCATTTAAGTTGTATGGCTGATACGTAGTTTATGCGTGGATCATGTTCTATGCAGCTGTTTGAAAGGATACTAGATATTCCAATTACATGGTCTAAAGGGAGGGCCAGTGGTGAGGTGTTTCTCTAACCAAAGCTTACAATTGGAAGTGTTGTAAAGTTCTTTTGAGTATCAGTTGTGATTAAATTTTGTAGTGTATTTTCTAATTAATACTGTTTTCTGATTTTTAGTGGTGCTATCAACCTTAAATCTACCTCCTAAACTAGAATAACTAGTCTGAGTAATGACCAGAACAATGGCTTCGTTTGCGGTTCTTATTTCCCTCCTTAATAGCTTTTATCTGTTTCTGTCAACAAAAGTAAAACATGATAGTTTCAACGACGTATATTTGTTTAGTTAGATCCTAGAAGATATGTTCCTTGGCATTAGATTGGAATTATGATTTATCATTGGTCAGGCCAACTGAAGTTTCAGTGTCCCTGGTTATTACTCTGATCATATGGTTATTTAAAATAGTTTTCTTTTGGTTATAATTTCTTTCAAGTGTATTTACTGTTTAATACTTAAAGAGTTATGCCCATTTCCAGCCTTCTCTAACCAACCATGGCTATAGTGAGGAGGTCCTTTGTAATTTTTACCTGGATAATGTCAATGGAAGGTCCTTCCCTTGTTAGCTTCACAGATTCAATCACATAGTAGATTGTTCAATAGAACACATGTTGTTTCATAAACACAATAGTGTTATATTGTTTGAAATTTGTGGATCTGATGTTACATCAAGTTCTTCATACTTTTGATAGTTATCTTTGCAATGTGAGGCACTGCTTTCTAATAACTGGATTTTGACCTGTTTGATATATTTTCCCTATATTTAGGTTCACTTGTGCATGTCAAAGGGTGAAGCTTTTCTAAATCTTCACGGGCAGCTTGACGTAACAGGGTTGAACTTCCAACTATCAAATGCTCCATCTTGTTTTTCTGTATGTCTTCCTTTCATCCATATTAGGATGTCTTGTGCAATTCTATTTTGACACATGAAGTTTCTTTTGTGGTATTTTTTCTATCCTTTTGAAAGGTAGGTGAGCCACTACATATGCATTGTATTTTATATTGCTCAACAAAAAATATACTTTTTATTTGAAGATGCCTAATTAGCTTTATATTCATTAGGTTCTTTTCAGAAAGGACAAACCGAAAATATATATGCTGCATTCCGTGTGTTTAGACCATAACGGAGGTATTCAATTTATGGGGGAGAGAGCATAATTACAAAATATTTAGTTTCCCTATTTTAGGCTAATGACATAAATATAGAATCAATCTAACTGAACCTAATAACATCATTTGATCCTAATATCATATCTATAGGATATTGTTGTACCAGAAATAATAATTTGTTTTTTGACAAATAAGGATATTAATTGTGAAGCTTGAGAAGAAAATAACAATATTTCTATGGGTGATTGCCATTTCTTGTTTATGTGGTGCATTGAGTGGAAGTCTAAAACCATAGTTTTTATTGGAGGAGGGATCATGTTTGGTACAAACCCCTACTGTGTAGGTTTAATTTAGTTGTTGTGTCTGCTAATGAGTAAATCACCTACATCAATTTTTGGGGTGCAACTTATATATTGGTTGGATAACTTTACTTAATGTTAATTGGTTTTAAGATAAAGTATGACATGATATCAGAACTTATAGTTAATCTTGGTAAATCACCCATACTGATATCTGCCTGTTCTGATAGACATTTGTGGAGGGGGGAGGGTTTGTTGTGAAGCTTCACATTGTCTGACTCAATTCTTAAAGTATGACTTTTATATACGTTAGACAATTTCGCTTAGTGGAAATTGGTTTTAGGTGAAATCTGACACATACTACTAACTGTTGATGCCTACTGGACCTTTGGTCTCGTATCAAGTGCTCAGGCATATTGATCTGCCACAACTAAATATTTATGTTGCTGGCACACGAAAGTAAAGGATGTTCTCCTCTCCTGGTTTTAAACTTTATGTTCTTGTTCTTGTTGCAGAACGCATCAGGAAGTTTATGTTTTCGTGGCCAAAGTATATTTTTACATAATGCAAGTGGCTGGTTTGGCAGCATTCCTCTTGACGCATCTGGAGAGTTTGGCATTCATCCTGAGGAAGGAGAATATCATCTTATGTGTCAGGTACTTGTTTGTGTGCATGTGCTTGTCTTCATAAATATTTATTGTTAATAGGTAATCGGGAAATATAAATACTACAAACTCAAATGTCAGGGGAGTCTCGGAATTATAAATAACTTGATTACAATTAGCTTTAGTTCACTGTAATGCTTATGTTAATTGTAACTTCGGAATCTGAAATAGTTTAATTACCTTTTCTTGTGACCAGTATTCTGTATTAATTATCTCTGTGTATGGGTATCATTTAACTGAGTATGAATTGTGCACTCAATAATATTACCTCGTAATCAATCTTCTCTTATTTTTGTTTTCAACTATTCTCACCACATTAAATTTCAGGAAATATTGTTATAGTTTTTTTCATTTTCCCTAATACATTATTGACCAATTTTCCAGGTTCCTAGTGTTGAAGTGAATGCTCTGATGAGAACTTTCAATATGAGATCTCTCCTGTTTCCAGTATGGTTTCTTGAGTTCAATGCATTAGCTTAAACATGTTAAAGTTCTCGAGTAGATAGATAATTTCCATCTTTGTATATATTTTTTCTTTAACTTGCTATTTTTAAATTTCAAAATAGTAACATCAAAGTTTTTATGCAAGTATTTGTTATAGTCATTTATAAACTTCGTTCATTTTTTGCTTTTATTTTGGCCCTTATTTTTGAAGCGTGGTGCCACTGTACCATCATTTCTTCATACTCTATATTTGATAGCTAACAAGTGAGCTTTTGCTAAAATTTAGGTTAGATTTTCCAAAAACTTTTGAGAAGCAGAAGCTATCTATGACTTATCAAAGAAATTGCATGGATTTTTCAAAATTTGAGACATATTGAGCCTGTTGTCAATTTCAACTTTGTTTCCTAATATAAGTAAACTACAATTTTGATACCCACAACTGCCTTGTTTTTTATTTGCTATAGTCCTTTTGAATTTGGGCTAAGCCCAATTCAATCTCTAAACCTAGCTCATAAGGTGCAAATTGCCTCCTAAGCCTTTATAAGCTCTACTTTATTCTGGGCAAAATGAGATCTGCACAAGTCCCCACTTGAAAACCTTACATTTTGATCCCTATGAGTTTTTTCACAAAACTGGTCCCCACCATTTACTACAGTTATAATGGTGTTTGAGTATTTTCATATCAGAACCAAAATATAGAGTTTCTTGCAAATAGGACCAAAATGGAGTGCAATTTGCTCTTTTGTATAGGGGTTTGTTAAGATTCCAACATAACACCAATTGATAATACGTGGAGTAGGCGATTTGGGACTTCCAATACATCCCTTCCAACGAAGTTTGCCGGACCAGGCAAACAATACTTTTGACCCACAACAAAAGTGCAACTCTTGGCTCAAGACAACTTAAACCATACCACATGACTTGAGGCAGATGATGTGTGACTTCCAACACGCCTTCTCCAACGAAGTCTGCCGAACTAGGCAAAGAGTACTTTTGACCCACAACGAAAGGGTCAAGCCCAAGACAATAACCACAAAGAAATTAGGCTTTAACTCTGATATCATGTTAAAGTTCTAACATAAAACTAATTGGTAATATGTGGAGTAGTCTAATAGGTATTTAAATTATACCACGTGACATGAGATAGGTGATATAGGCTTCCAACATAGTTAAAATGAAAAATGTTGTTATGTATAGGTGCCAAATTTTATATTGTTATAATAAATGAATTGCGAGGGATTGATTCATAAATGATTTTGCATATAGAAACCAAAATGTCAGGTTATGTTGGGATTAAAACAAAAGAAAATGTGTGATGTGCAGAGACCAAATTTATGATTTAACCAATGCAAGTATTAGCTTATCCAACATGAATCCTTGTATTTCTAACCTTTATTTATTTATTTATTATAATTAAAGTTTATTGATTGCAGCTAGCAGGATCAATGACTGCTCTATTTAATTGTCAAGGCCCACTGGATGCTCCTATTTTTGTGGGAACTGGAATGTTTTCTAGGATATTCTCTTCTTTTCATCTGGATGCTCCTAGAACTGAAGCATCTGAAGCACTTGGCAAAAGTAAAGAAGGTGGAGCATTAGCAGCATTTGATCGTGTACCATTTTCACATGTATCTGCCAATTTCACTTTCAACACTGATAATTGTGTAAGTTGAATGTGGTATTAATTTTGCAAACAGTGGTTCAGAGTTGTGACTCATTGTTTATGTTTGGTAACATTTCCACTGCATAACACAGATTGCTGATTTGTATGGAGTTAGGGCAAGTCTTGTAGATGGTGGTGAAATTCGAGGGGCTGGGACAGTATGGATATGCTCAGAGGTATATTACTGCCCGTAAACTATTTGATATTACATTTTTTTTCTTTTCTTAGCCATGAAGTAGCATGTTTTTATTATGCAAATAGTTAGCACTTTCTTTTTCCATTTTTCTAGAACGCATAGAGCTGTTACCATGTTCATGCAATGGGGGATCACCATGTTTTGTAAACTCTATGATGGTCAATTTATTTATTTATGTGGGAGAGGGACTTCTTGGAAGTTTTTGCACATCCGTGTAATTTTTGCCACCATTAGACACTCATTTTATGACTTTTTTGAGGTAGGGGAGGGAATTTTTCAATAAATTATCTTCATTATCTGTCACCTGTTTGCTAAGGATACTAATTTATTCCTTCTCATATCCTTTATATGTCACCCATAGTCCCTATGACTCAGTCAAGTTATAGTATCACATGACAGCTAGTGATTCTCATTCTCACAAAACATGATATTAGTAGGTTTCATTGATTTGGCTAAAACAAAACTTTAGGATGTGAATATTTTTCAAATATTAGCACCCATTTTGTCTATAGTTTGTCCCCCACCCTGCTAATGTATACTATTTTGTTCTCAGGCTGTGGATGACGAGACAGCAATAGATGCAAACTTCTCTGGAAGTTTGAACCTTGAAAAAATTATGCTTCGCTATATTCCCACTTATCATCATTTGATGCCACTCAAACTCGGAGTTTTAAATGAGAACACAAAACTTTCAGGATCTCTTATTAGACCGTGAGATTATTCCTTTTCCATTAACATTGTATATATATTATCAACGATTTCTTCACTTGCTGATTATGAATATCTCTTGTACTTCTACTTGGCTTGTCCCAACTTAATAATACTTCTTTCCTTGTCAATGAGCTATATCATTTCTTTTTTATTGCAGGAGGTTTGATATAAAATGGACTGCACCGTCAGCAGAAGGGTCGTTTAGTGATGCTAGAGGAGATATCATAATCTCCGATGATTTCATCAGTACTAAATTTGCTTCAGCTGCATTTGTTTTGAATATGAAAGTTCAAACATCTTATTCTGATAATTTCCCTCTTAAAAGAGAAGGGTTTAATGCACCAAGAGCCCTTCCATTTACTGTTGGTGGAGTTGATTTTGATTTGCACGTGCATGGATTTGAATTCTTTAGTTTGGTTACTCCTTATACGTTGGATTTTCCAAGACCTTCGATTTTGAAAGCAACAGGAAGTTTCAAGTTTCAGGGAAAGGTAAAACCTAGTACCACTATTATTGAACAAAGTGATGAGAAGAACAAGAAGCATATGAATATGTTGGAGAAAGGAAGTGCAGATAGTCTTGTTGGTGAGGCTTCAATCTCTGGTCTCAAAGTGAATCAATTAATGCTTGCACCTCAAATGTCTGGGTTATTGAGTGTTTCTCCCGAGTGTATCAAGGTAATGAATAAAAGTTTCTCTGTTGTTGGCAGTAAATTGTAGTATAGTAAAATCATGGACAGGAACTCTATAAAATCATGGACTAGGGTTCTATTAAAGGGATTTGGATTTAATAAATATGGGTGGGGATGGGGTAGTTACGTTCTTGGTGAAGGTTTTATAATTCATAAGCAGTTAATTTGTTAGTTACTAATATGTTGAAAGCGCAGTTAACAAGTAACTGCTGGTTGACTTAATTAACCAGTTGAATGGTAATTGTTCCTTACTAGCAATATTTTTTACCAAGATTCCTTTTTGAAAAATTGATCATTATGTTTGATATTTTGATGGATGAAATCTCTTGATCTATTCCCATACAGTGAATATATGTTTCAATTAACCCTCCCTCACATCACACCCACCCACCAAAATCTATTTGAGGATGTTTGATTCATAAATGGTGACAAGCTTCCTAAACTTGATTTAGTGCAAGTGTTAATCTGCAGAATTTTGTTGGATCCAGCTTCTTCCAAAAATAAATTTAAAAGGTTGGATTTGGACTTCAAGATGAAACTTTTCTGGAAAATTATGCAGCCCTTGCTTTGCTTATGATTTTTGTCACTTAGTTAAGGAAAGTAATTCATATGAACATTGTTAATTATCTTACGTGGTCATATTTCACCTTTGTACAACATATAATATAATTTATACTTATATTTTATTTCAAATGGAACTTTTCCCCTGTAGACGCCAAATTTAAAAATGTAGTTATTTTGTGGAAGGTAGACATCCTTATGCCGCAAGTTTTGTATCATTCTACATATATTAGCTTTTCTAACTTCCATTCTTTCTTGGAGTGTAGTTGAATGCCTATGGTGGGTCTGATGAAAGTCTTGTGGTGGATTTTGTTGGGCCACTACAGCTCAGTGGTAAAAGTGGTCTGAAAAGTGGACAATTGTTGTTTATTTCCCTTCATAAGGGGAAATTGATGGCTAATGTAGATTTTCGACCGTGTCATTCAGCTAGCTTAGAGGTACTTATATTTAAATATTGGGTCCAATGATTGAATCCAGATATATTTGTTTCTATGCTGGCATATTTTTAGGCACTCTATATGAACCCAAAAGTTAATATTGAAAATTTTCCTTGTTTTTGTGGGCTGCTGTACTTGTAGGTATGGCATTTTCCACTTGATGAGCTGGAGCTTGCTTCTCTCAGGGGAACTATACAGAGGGTAAGCCATTTTTATTTGAGGACAAGAAATGATTACTAGCAGTTGATAATCATCTCTAAATCTTAAACTGATACAAGATCAAGCACTGGTTATTTGTAGTTAACATCTCTTGCCTTCCTGCTTATGTAAAAGCCTTTTGGGCTTTAAGGATTTCCTCAGAACAGTAAGTTCAATCGGTGTTACGGATCAGCATCCCAAAAGCTCATGTTATTAGGAGAAAGTCTAAAATATTTTTATTAATAAGGAGGTACCCATGGTGGTGGTAAAAGAAATGTACTTTCATCTAATTATATAAAGACATTACAAATTTCCTTTTAATATTTGAAAATTGACATATGAACCATAGTTTATAAAATAGCTTTAAAATAAAACTCTGTAAAAATAGGGAGTGTATCTAAGACGGGCTTTTTAGTTACTTTAAAATGATGATTTCTTTTGGTTTTCAATTACAATAAAAAGCAAATTGGATTTTTGGGGAAAAAATTGGACATCAAATGGAGGAATCCCTTTTTGTAAGGGTATAGGTATTTTTAAGATAAAACATAGCAAAGGTGCACATAAATGAAAATATGCATAGATAAAATAAAATTTTGAGGAAATTATTTCTAATATGCAACTTTTGGCGTTTCTATTAGATTTATTGTTTTTTAACCTCTTCATTTCTCCTTTTTCTGTTCAGTCCTTCCTGACTCTTTGTGGTAGAGAGGATGGAGGAGAAGGAGGGGAGGAAGAGAAATAAACTTTTTTGGTTGGTAGAGGGAGAAAAGAAGAAAAAAATTTAAAAGATAGTGGGACCCACTGTACTATTTGTTATTGATTTCTTTCATCTCTCCTTTTTTCCTATCAAATTATTCAAATTACACAACTTTCAAAACACATTCTCTCTATTTCTCACCTATTTCTACTCTACTAAACAACTGAACATTCAATTTTATTTCTGACCTATTTTTCTTTTCTCAACTTATTTCTTCTGTATTTTCATCCTCTCTATTACTTTCCGCAGAACCAAACACAGCCTGAATAATGACTTGGTTAATGCATTCTTTAAATGTTATGTTATAAAAATAATGTGGATTTTAGCTGGTTGCCCTTTTCTTTTTCAGGCAGAAATCCAGCTTAATCTTCAAAAAAGGAGAGGACATGGAATGATATCTGTTCATCGGCCAAAATTCAGTGGGGTGCATGGTGAAGGACTGGATGTGGTAGCTAGGTGGAGTGGAGATGTTGTGAGTGCCTAAGTTCATTTTGTTATGTTGAGAAGAAGTGAAAGCAAGAAATATGATTGAATCCATGTGTCATTGTACACTACGAATTGTATTGTTATGTAGAGTTAATTACAAAGAAAATAATTGGCTAACTACTATAGCTGTTTAAACCGTATAATTGTCTTGTTACCATATCTAAAGATATCTACAATATGTAATACTATTCTCAAGTTGAAGCAAATAATCAAATGCATTGTGCTTGGAACAAATATAAACAATTGTAGGATTCTCAAAGACTTAGTGAACACATTTGTTGATTGATTATTAGAGTTGGCAAATTAGTGCTGCCATTTCGTTAAATTCAATTTTATTATAGTAATACTGGCATTATGATATCGCTATGTTGCACTGCATATTGTACTATGTTTGTTACTGATTGTCAGTTGATGTTCTACTGTTCAGATCACGATTGAAAAAGCTATTTTGGAACAAAGCCACAGTCATTATGAAATGCAAGGTGAATATGTATTACCTGGTGCCCGAGACTGTAATCCTGTTGACACAAAAGGAGATGGCATTTTAGAAAGGTTCTTGTCTGAGCATGTTGGTAGTGTTATATCTTCGATGGGTAGGTGGAGAACGAAACTTGAAGTTCCCAGAGCTGATATTGCTGAGATGCTTCCCCTTGCAAGACTTCTATCTCGAAGTATGGATCCTGCTGTTCTCTCAAGATCAAAGGTTGTATTATGCTTTATATTTCCTTAATTGACAGATTCTAAGTCAATTGATTTAGATACCTTGCTTATGATTTTATCTTTGTAAAATGTGAGTGGGTTAATTCAGGAGTCTAGCTACATGGTTTATTTGATGCTGTTGAAAACCACATAACACATTTACCTTTTAAGGTTTCAAGTTGATTTGAATATAGTTTGGGATCCCTGCCCCAACCCACATGCATTTTTTTTCCAGAAGAAGGGTATATATAAGCTAGAGGAATCCAAATTCAATTTTAGGTTCTTCATGCTGCTGACTTGTTTGTTTTTCTTGTGGATTGAATTTAAATCAAGCTCAAAGTTTGACTCTTAATTAAATAATGAATATGAATAATAAATCTTCTCTCTGACTTTTGTTTCAAATTGAAGTTTTATAACCAGTTAAACAACTTCTTGTAAGATCACAAAGAACTGGACTTCTTTCTATCTGACTTTATAACAATTTTAAGCATCAAATCTTAAAAATAAAGTTGTCTAACTCTAGCATCTAAAAGGATTGAAGACAGTGAACCAAGGTAAGTGAGAGCTGGACTCTATTAGAGTATTGTATACTCCTGATTCAATATATTCTGTAACTGAAAACACTTAGCATTGAAATAGTTATTTCTGTTAGTCTTGATGACAGGTAGTTTGTTTTGCATGTCCCGTTATGACTTTGGTTAGCTATGAATAGTTGAACCGTTTCTCTTTGCAATCAACTTTTCAATAATACATTCTGCAATTTCCATTTTTGTTCTTTAATTCATGACTTAGGATTTGGCTACAAAGTACTTTAGGTTTAACTCTTACAAAATTGGATTGTAAAGTGGGGATTGTCCTCACTTATATACCCAAATTTCAGCTAAGAACCAATTGGCGATAAATAAAGTTTCTTAACAGATATATAAATTGCACTTAAAGAATTGAGGCAGGTGATGTGAAGCTCTCCTTAATATCTCCTATTGACTAAGAAGATGTCTATTACAATAGGTGAAATTAAGAAGACTTTAAGCCACACCTGGAGAACTAAGGTAGGCAATGTAGGACTCTCCCCAATATTCCCCCTTGACAAGTTGTCTCAATTCTCCATGTGCGACTTATATATCTATTAAACAACTTCACTTATAGCTAATTGGCTCTAAGCTGAAATCTAACATGGTATCAAAAGCTTATTATAGTTGAAAATGGATGTTGGGGAGAGTCCTACATCGCTTGCCTCAATTCTCTGGGTGGAGCTTATATATCTATTGGGACCTTCACTTATCAATTGGTATTAAGCAGAAATCTAACAATCCCTTCATGTCCAGTACTATTGGATCTGGGACATGAATAACATGTCGAGTGACCTCAATGAAACTAGGATAAACCCTAATACCATTTTACAAAGGCCAAATGGGTACAAACCTCACTAAACAAACTCAAACGGGTACAAACCTCACCATTTTACAAGGTTGAGTTAAGCTCAAACTACTTTATAAGATATTGTATTTTGGCACTATCTTCAGTCAATATGGGACTTGTGTTAGAGAGCTAGTTTTGTAGAAATTATTGAAAAACAAAAAGAAACTTGTTCTAACTAGTTTTTGAAAATTTACTAGCGTAAATTATTGTTATTACCAAAGCTGTAATGTTGCTAATACTTTCTTTTTAGTTAGTATTGTGTGTAAGTAGCTGAACCCATCCGGTTGAGATAAGGATTCATTGTTGTTATATTGTATTGTTGGCAACTTTCATATGTCAAGTACTAGTTTTCTTGGAGGAGGTTTAGTGGTGTCATACTGTTAACTATTCATAGAATAAATTTCTATCTCCTAAGTCATTGCGTCTCCCATGGATTATTCTTTTTAGAACTCAAAGTCGTGGAAGCCATAATTAATTTTATTGACCTTACTGGAATTAAAGAATGTAAACCCATGAGTAAGAAAATGCATACCAAATTCAACTTAGTCAACAAGAATACACTATAGGATTGAAAAATCTTAGTATAGAAGCATAATATCACTCTGCTTCTGTTTCTAATCAGCCTCTGTTTTGTGTGGGTTATAATTGTAAATTACTAGAGCATTCAATTTCAGTAACACATTTTCTGTGTAATTGTCTGTTATATATGTTTGCACGTATGCATCTGCTGAACACTTTGATGATTGTCAGTCGTCTATTGCATATATAGACTTTGAGAAAGATAATACTTTATTGTTTGTCACCTTAAAACCTGCTGTCCATACTGTATACTTAGTTTAAAAATAGAATGCTTATTATGCATATTACCATGTTCCTTGTAGGATTTTTTTATTCAAAGTTTACAGTCAACGGGATTATATTCTATGAGCACTCAAGAACTGCTTGAGGTATCATCAAATAATCATTATATTTCATTTACCTTTCAAAAGCCACAATACTTTATGCATCCAGATTCGCGCTCCCAGCATGAAGTGGGCATGTATTGTTTATGTTAAGGACAAAACTTCGATGTAGTTCCGTAAGTGTTTTTGGTGTTGTTCTCCAATCAAAATTGGGTCTAATAAAATGTCAATATAGACTACCAAGGTAAAACACCAATTCTAATTGATGAATAACACCAAAAGCTCCAACAAAACTGTATCTAAGTTTTGTACATACTGATTCATAACATTCATGATCCAAATGATTTTCACTGCAAAATTTGATTCTTTTTGTCTGTCATTAATGTTATTCAACTTTCAGTTAATAAAGGAGCTTCATGTTCCATCAAATAATGTTCTTGAGGATTTGAGCCTTCCTGGTTTACTTGAACTCAAAGGTTGTTGGCATGGTTCCCTCAATGCCAGTGGTGGAGGGAATGGAGACACCCTGGTAAAATTTTTTGGTTTTTGCATATTGGGAGTTAGCATAATATTCTACTTTTTGAATATTGACTTTGTACTCAATTCCATTTCAGGCAGAATTTGACTTTCACGGTGAGAATTGGGAGTGGGGAGAATACAGAACTCAGCGGGTCTCAGCAGTTGGTACTTATAGTAATGATGATGGTATACACCTGAAGAATTTTTTGGTTGAGAAGGATAATGCTACAATTCATGCTAATGGAACTTTATTAGGACCTAAAACCAACCTTCATTTTGCTGTCTTAAATTTTCCTGTTAGTTTGATACCGACATTAGTTCAGATCATCAACTCTACAGCAAAGAATGCTGTTCATTCTCTGCGGCAATTGTTAGCACCCATTAAGGGGATCTTGCATATGGAAGGAGATCTTAGAGGAAGTTTAGAAAAACCAGAATGTGATGCTCAAATTAGGCTCCTTAATGGTGCAATTGGTGGAATTGTTCTTGAACGAGCAGAAGTTGTTGCCTCTCTAACCCCAACTAGTCGTTTTCTATTCAATGCAAAATTTGAACCTTCGATCCAGAATGGTCATGTACTAATTCAAGGATCTATTCCTATTAATTTTTTTCAAAGTAAAATGTTACACCAAGATGTACAATTAGAAAAGAGTAGGGATACTTGGGTTCCTGAACGGATGAAAAAGAACATGGGGACCACAACCACTTATCATGCCAGGGACAAAAATGTTTCTTGGCATAGAAATGAAGGTTGGAATATTCAATTAGCAGAAAGGCTTAAAAGTTTGAATTGGCAAATTTTAGATGTTAGAGAAGTCAGGGTGGATGTTGATATAAAAGATGGGGGAATGATGCTGGTAACTGCTTCAACCCCTTATGCCAATTGGCTTCATGGCAAAGCTGATATCATGCTTGAGGTGGGTATGGTGAATAAATTTTTGTCTAATAATTATTTCTACTTCTCTAAGTATTTCCATGTCGTTTGACCTAACAGGCCAGAGGTACAGTTGATCAACCAGTACTTAATGGATATGCATCATTCCGTAGGGCATCTATATCTTCACCGGTTTTCCTAAATTCACTGACCAACTTTGGTGGAACTGTGCACATGAAATCAAACAGGTTATCCATCACCTCACTAGAGAGTAGGCTAGGCAGAAAAGGGAAGCTGCTTGTGAAAGGAAACCTTCCTCTCAGAACTAAGGAAACAGCCCTTGATGACAAGATCGAGTTTAAGTGTGAAGTTCTAGAAGTGCAGGCAAAAAATATATTAAGGTTGGTTTTTTAAATTTCTGGCATATGGGATTTAAGTTATGTCTTGACATATTATGGATGTATGTAGCTGATTTGATCATTTAACCTCAAATCTTATTGAATTTTGACAATGTAACTTTTATTTTATAATATGTTTTTTGCTTACATGATTCTTATTTAAAAAAATGCTACTTTTGTCAGTTGCCAGGTCAACTCCCAGGTGCAAATAACTGGTTCCATATTGCAACCTAACATTTCTGGAAATATTAAACTTAGTCATGGGGAAGTATATTTGTCGCATGATAAGGGTGATGCTTCTTCTAATAGATTCCCATCATATCGATCTGCACTTCCTGGTGGTGGCATTGATAAATCATTTGCTTCAAGATATATTTCGCAGTATGTTGGCTCAGAATCTGCTTCTCCGATGGCCAAAATTTCTCAAACTTCTGGCTCTGGTAATACTTTACATGTTTGCTAGTTTAGCATGTATTCTTCTTCCATTTCCTTATAATAATTCTCTACAATCAGAACTGACTTGCTTATTATTGTAAATGTATCACTCTCGTTCCCCTTTATATAGCATTAGAGTTGACACTGGATTTCTGCACTGTCGCATAATCTAATGACTCTGCATGTATTAAATCTAAATCATGCATATTCATTTTTGCTCAAATTATTTTGTTTAACGGCCAACTATGAAGTTAGTATTGTGAATTTGTGATCAATGTATCTAAGCACGCACTAGTGAAGCACCACAAAGAAGCTAAGAAGACCATTTTATCCCAAATAAGCAATTTTGGCAAGAAGCTAGCATTGCAATTATTGCATTTTTCTCCAATCAAAGGCACTGGAATGCTTCATACTTAGCACATCTTGAACAATTTGTTCTGCCAAGTATTGCAGTTACCCCCTCTCCCTCACAAAGTTAAAATCAACTTGAGCACCTTTTTCATAAACTCTCTCGTCCAACTTTTCCATGATCACTTACAAACATAATAGAACTTGTTCATAACAATAGGGTTTTACAATCTAATTCGGCCATTGCTGACTATTTTTTGCTATGTTATGCAGTTCTTGATACATGTTTGGATCGGATAAATTTTATTCTGAATTATAATGGATTAGTTAAAGAAACCCATTAATGAATTTTGGTCATTAAAAATCCGATCCATTTAACAAAATTCCGATCCAAACCATTAACAAATTTTTCATGGATGGATATCATCCATCCATAAAATAATTTTTTTAAATTAAAAAAAAGTTATAAAGTAATTTTTTGTAAAAAAAATTAAAAAAATATATATTTTTTGAAATTTTTTAAGAAAGGTAAATTTAAGAAAGATTTAATAATGGAAAAATTGGTTGGATTAATTTTGATCCATTACTTATTGATAGGTTGATTCATTGAATTTTGAAAAATAATGGATGGATCATCAACCATCCATAAAACTAAATGGATGGATTTGATTTGATCCAATTTTTTCTTTATATTTTTGTAGTAAATGGATTGAATGTATTTACTTGTGCATGGACATTGGATTGCTTTGCCACCCCTATTTTGGAGATGCAATCAATCATTTGTGCACAATAACAGAAAAAAAAGTTCAAGGGAACACCTTATATCTATAGTCTGATCTATAATATTCTAAAAACATCTAACCCACGACAATTTGATTGCTTTATCTATACATGTGCATGTGTTATTTGAAAAATTAGTCGAGTTCACTGTGTAATATTTTTAAGAATGGGTACTTCTTTTGGGTGTATGATGATATTTTCCTTTAAACAAACCACATGGAAGTCAACGAGTCAACTCAGGTGGAAAAGGATACGGAGGAAGTGCATACAAAACCAAATGTAGGAATCTGCCTTAGTGATTTGAAGCTTTTGCTTGGACCAGAGCTGAAGATAGTTTATCCTTTGATTCTTAATTTTGCCATTAGTGGAGAGCTTGAGTTGAATGGTCTTGCCCATCCCAAATGTATAAAGCCTAGGGGCAAACTCGTATTTGAGAATGGTGAAGTTGATCTAGTTGCAACACAGGTTTGTGTGATGTTTAATTTTGCAACTCTTATAACATGCAGTTTCTTCCCGGCTAGTTTAGTCTTAGTTTTTCCCCTAACTTTATAGTCTCGTTGTTTAGGTTGATAAAATTCATTTTAAATGTAGGTGAGGTTAAAACGGGAGCATCTCAATATTGCAAGGTTTGAACCTGATTATGGACTAGATCCAATGCTAGATTTAATTTTGGTTGGATCTGAGAGGCAATATAGAATTCACCGTCGAGCAAGCAATTGGCAGGACTTTGAAGAGGATACATTGTCACCAATTGAGGTAAGATGAAACTGCTCTGTCATCTTGTTGTAACGCATGAAATGAAAATAAATCAATCACAAGCACTCTCAATGACAGGACAACAACTTCACTCATCTCACAACTATTAATAAAAGAATGAAATGTCATAATTGTATGAACCAATTAAGTTATTTTTTGTGAACTATTCACTAACTAAGCATATTACTAAAGAGTTATAAATTGTAATCATATTTGAAGCTTGAGGTCCCATATCCTCCTTATTGGGTTTAGAGTTCAGAATCAACCGATCTAGTGTTGTTAGTGTTGGAACAGATCCTTGAGCTGATTAAGCTCAAACATTCCTAGTTGAAGTGACACGAGTTACTTGGACGAATGGACCGCTGTTGGTGGAAATTAACATTCACTTTCACAGAAAATCTCCAAGTGGTGCTGGATCCCAAAGTTTCTTTAGTTAAATCATGCTTTCAAGTTAGTCAATAGTTTCATATGTGAAACATCAATACTCATGATTTTTCTTTCTAGCAGTGTGGTCTTGTTAATTGTTTCAACCCATGCAGGTTGCCAGAAGACTTGATAGTCGGTTAGCAGAATCCATGTTGGAAAGCAATGGTCAACCTGCCTTTGATAAACTTGCAACTGCTACTCTTGAGAAACTAATGCCACGAATAGAAGGGATGCGTGAGTTTGGCCAGGCTAGGTTGAAGTGGGTTTACGCCCCTAGGATTCCTAGTTTGGTTTCTGGTGCTACATTGGATCCTTTCACTTTACTTGCTCATAATTTAACATTTGGTACTGACATCGAAGTCCAGCTCGGGAAACGTATTCAGGTAATTATAATCAAATTAGTTCATATTTCAAATCATTGCTTTCCAAGGACTGGATTTCTTTTAATCTTAGCCTACTTCTCTTGTCAATCAATCCATATCAATAGAGGGAAAGCATTAGTTGTAATACTTCTTTAAAAATAATCCATTATTTGCCAAATTCTTTCAATGTTGGAACTGCAGACTCTATTGCCACTCACTTCACTGGTAAGTCTTTTAGTTTCTAAAGCAATTGTTCTTCTTCTTGCAGGCCAGAATCGTCAGGCAAATGAAGGAATCACAGATGGAAATGGAATGGACCTTGACCTATCAACTAAGAAATCGTTTGCATCTGTGCCTAAAGCACGGTTCATCGAAATGCTTACTTTTTGAATATTCTGCTACATTCCAGGATTAACTAACATCTGCAGGAAAATCCAACTTAAATACACTCCAATATCAAACATACCTCTTGTTTTATTCGTAGGTTGGGAGATTTGGGGGTTACTCTTTATTTGTAGAAGTAATGAGAATGCAATTCATTCTTTTGCTCAGGTTGAGCTTGTTAGTAGGGTAGGTGCTAATTTAAGGAATAGCCCCTTCCACCTTAGTTTTTTTGTATAGAAATTCATTATTAATGAAAAAAAAAAAAGGCATAGACAATTAGAATGAGGGATGCAGTGTAAGAGGGATGTTTCTTTCAGCCTCAAATCAGTACCATCGAGATGCAATAATAGTAAGTATAAAACTGTTAATGTCTTGGTTTGATTCTTGCCATACTTGTGATGCATGTTTAACATTTTTTATGAAGAAAATGATGAAAGAAAAAACCACTCTCATAGTTCCTTGACTAAATCTTAAAAGCAATGAAGCATTGCATGCCTTTAAAATGCTTAAAAATTATTATCATAGCTCACAAAATCTTGTTCAAAACGAATTAGACAAATTTTTCAATATTTGCATACCCATAACTCCTCTACCACGTGTCTCTTCTTAAAAACAATGAAAGAAAACACAACCACACCTAAAACTAAGATTGGATTTTATCTACATTGGATTGTTTCATGGTCCAAACCATGTTAAAGTACATTTCCCAATGGAAAAAAAAAAAAAAAAAAGCAAATCATTAATATGTTTGCTACTGGTAATTGCTTCTCGGGAAAATTGATGAATGCATCAAAGATGCACTTGCTACTGCTAGTACTAGTATATCTAATAATTTTGAATTGGTTGGTTTAAATATAAATAACCCCTGACTGACGAACAAATGAGTATCCCGAACCTACACCCAGATATTGATGGCGATTCTCAAATATCGAAGAACAGAATGGGATACGATGAGATAGAATACAATAGAAACAAAGACTCTCATCTCATTGCAAGAATCTAACTGTAGTTTGCTAGATAAAGAAGAACAATTAAATGATACATAAATTTCACGCCCGAAAAATTCTCACATTAATGCAACAAAAAATATTGTGTTTTCACCAAAATCTCCAGGGATCTTTGTAGGGAGGAACATAATCTTCTGTTGGGCTAAGGAGACGAAACGAACTCACTGCCTTTTCAAGGAAAGGCCCCAGCTGCATAAAACACATTCTATGTTAGAAATCAAAGACTGATCTTAATTAAAAAAAAATTCAATGGGTTCAAAGCTAGTAAAAAATGGACTTTAAGGAAAATTACTCCAAGCCTTGAAAATCATCAAGTTTCATGTACATGCATTTACGTAAAAATCAAACCATTTGCTCTCTTACCCCTCTTTTAAACATATCATTCTGTTTCTTTTTTCTAACAAATAAAAAGGGAAATTTTCACCTTGACAATGATTTCAGGTTCTACAATCCCCTTTGATAGATGAATAACTTCCTCTTACTCTTTACTAGAACATTAAAACCAGAAAGTGACATGTTCTCAGTCTGTGTGTGGATGACCAAATCATTGTCAACATAAGGAACTACACATGTTTGATCATTGACTGAGGAAGTATAAGAAATTTTGAAGTTCGTTTGCTAATTTTGTTTTGATACTCTGCTTTTACAGGTGTTCTCATAATCATTTTAACGAATGAACATGAACTCCATGCAGACAACAAGAGAGTAAGAGAAAAAGAGTACTTTTTCCCACCGCGGGCTGATGGTTGAAGCACTGATAGAGTACAAATAACCTGAAAGTAATAGAACAGAATTTCTAAAATGCAACACCAAAATAAATATAACTTGAAAACCACAAAAGTAGCATAAAGAGAAATAGTAGCATGTGAATTAGCTAATTGGTCATCCCATAAAAAATAATAGAGATATATGTTTTTGTATTGTTTTATTTTTCTTCCCATGGCAAGTCTAAAACAAGTGTGGCTCTCATTGAATGAGAAATGGAAAAGAGAACAAAATCATTTCAAATGGAGCTTTGAGGCACATTGTATAACTATACAGAGGACTGTCTCATATTAGACACAAAGTTAGATATAATCTATACCAATGAAACAAAATAGAAGATATACCATCTCTTTCAGTTGTTGAAGCAAGATAATGCCGGTAAGTGTTTGATTTATCAGTCTGTAAAAGCATGGTTTACAATTTACAAGTCAAACGTAATCATTACATATACCAGATCTTTCCATGAAAAAAATGTTGTACCAAAAGGAAGAACTTACAAGTTTCAAAGGTGCTTTACGAACAAGGTATTCATAATACCAGTACATCTCACCATCAATCTGTGAGAAGAGACAGATAAGCTCCACTATGCATAATAAATTTCTACTTAAGTATGTGACACGTTATGTAGTAACAAATTTTAATCTCTGGAATATTCATTATCATTAACCAACAAATAAATGTTTGGAGATCTTCCGGTTCTTATCTGAAGATGTCTGTTTATTTTAAATGCAATAATCAGCAGATATTTATATTGATCCATCATGTTAAATAAATAAATAAATAAATAAATATATATATATATTCATTCACCTGCTTTTAAAAAGAAATATTTTAACAAGCTATAACTTGAGTGTACATTAGCAAACCACAACGGCAGGTTTATTGTCATGCAACAACCTGTTTTTTTCAGAAAAAGAGAAATTTTAGCAAGCTACAAGTTGGATGTTTTACTGTAATCGAAGTTATAACTTAATAAAATACTTTTTCAAAAAATAAGTGAATGCATGTTAACAAATCTCATAATATAATAGGAAGTGAGAGATGAAGCACAACAAAAACTAACCTCAACCATATAATCGAATTTAAATAGATTGATAAGACTAAAATTATTGAAAACAATTATATATATATAAGAGAGAGATCAAATATTGGAAATGACAAAATAAAGATCGTTTTACGAGGCTTACTTCACTAGAATGGGTGTTGAGAACCGAACTCTCTTCCAAGCGCTGACTTGAGGTAACTCGCTGCAAAATGTTCTTATCAGAAATAAATGTGAAGGATTTTCAAAGCAGATCACAATCAATGCATTGTCTGTTTAAACAAAGTGGGTGTTATTTCTGTCTGTCTAAACAATAAGTTCAAAAAGACCTGATCTGATACATTACATATATAAGGGCTTAAATAATCCATTTTGATCTAAAAATGAGAAATTTTGAGTGACAATCCAAAAGCAATTTGCTTAGAAGGCTGACTGACATTTAAACAGTTATGGGACATCAAATCTACATATGGTGAAATACTGCAACTATTATCTCATTTCGCCTAGCCTACGTGCCCAAGAGTATAAATGGAAAACTAACCAACTGATATCCAAGAATTATGTTGCATGTGGATTTTTCAAGCAAAAAATAAAAAGCTCTGTTTACAATCATATCTTTAAGGCTTAAAATATGCCGCAGAGGGAAACTGTATTTTAACATCTTGGAGCATCATTGCTCAATTTGTGGTCAGTGAAAATCCTCAAAACAGAGAAGATTAATTTAACGCTATCTTCCCATGTGTAACAAAAATTTACCTACCATCCAACATTTATGACCATATTACACTCCTTGGTTTCCTAGTAGAGATAATCCCCAGTAACTGATGAGTGAATGCTCAATCTCTGAACTTTAATTAATACTCAGAGCAATAGTAGCCGTTTCTTGTGGTTTGAAATTTATAGATATTTTAGATATTCTAGATATTATTAGTTACAATATATTTATTTACCATATTTACTTGTATGACCCTTAACTATAAATATATTATCTTATGTGTATTTTAGATATAAGGGAATTAACCATATACCTAGTTTTCCACTATATTCAACATGGTATCTAGAGCATAGGTTTTCTTTTTTTTTTGTTCGTCACCACCGCTGCCCCTGCCGCATCTGCCGCAGCCACTGTCGCTGGAGCCACCGTCACTGCCCGAGTCACAGTTCAAGCTGGTGACCACACCGTTTTTCTCATCTTGACTAAGCAACCACCGTGTATTTGATATCGCCGTGATCAAAGTCTCTACATACTATTTAAAATTTTTAAGTTTTTTTTCTCTCTCTTCCTCCAAAGTTTCTTCCACTATCCCACAATCATCTACTGTGGATCCTACGTTATCTTATGTTGTAGACAAATATGCTATTTTCAATGAATTTTTCAAATGGTACGAGGCTCGTCAGAACTCTAGTTTCACTACTTTTGTTGCACTCACAGGTACATCTTTTGTTAACCTAACTCGATCTCCTTCCATTGGACCTTAGATTCTTGACTCAAGCGCCACATATCCTATTATTGGGAACAAATCTTTGTTTTCTTTTTTATCCTCTCTGAATAATTTACCTTCGATTACAATGGCTAATGGGTCTAGGGTTTTGACTCATGGTATTGGTACTGTTAAACTTTTCTCATCTTTATCCATTGATAATATTCTTTATGTCCTTGAGTCTCCCTTTAACTTATTATCCATTAGTCGTCTAACTTGTTCTCTTGATTGTATTATTGATTTTACCAAAGATTTTGTTTGTTTACAGGATCGGAGTTCAAGACAGATGATTGGCACCAGATGTAAGTCTCATGGTCTTTATCATCTCCGCCCTTCTACACATGTTGGTACAGTTATAGAGTCTTCATTTCTCCTCCATGCTCAACTAGGTCACCCCAATCTTGCCAAATTGCAACAACTTGTTCCTAGTTTATCCAATTTATCTAATTTATTATGTGAGTCATGTCAATTAGGAAAACATAATCGCAGTTCATTTCCTTGTAATGTCTCACAACGTGCTTCATCCCTTTGGGGACCCAATCGTGTTAAATCTAATTTAGGTTTTCAGTATTTTGTTACCTTTATTGATGATTATTCTAGAAGTACTTGGTTATTTTTAATGAAAAATCATTCTGACTTGTTTTCTATATTCCAATCTTTTTTTAATGAAATTAAACCAGTTTGGGATTTCTATTCGAATTTTGCGAAGTGATAATGGCTGTGAATACCTTTCTCATTCTTTTACAAATTTTATGGTTTCTCATGACATTCTTCATCAAACTTCATGTGCTTATACGCCTCAACAAAATGGAGTGGCTGAGCTCAAGAACAAACATCTTGTTGAAACAATTTGTATTTTTTTAATTCATGTTGAGGTTCCTAAACATTTTTGGGATGATGTTGTTCTTACTACATGTTATCTTATCAATCGCATGCCATCTTCAGTTCTAAATAACAAAATTTCTCATTCTCTTTTATTTCCTCATGAACCTCTACATCCCTTAACTCTTAAAGTTTTTGAGTCTACATGTTTTGTTCATAATTTTAGTCCTGATAAGTTATCACCTAAATCACACAAATATGTTTCTTAGGATTTACTCAATCACAAAGGTATACGCTCTATTCGTAATCTCTCTCCTCATTATACTGCTTTGAGTTACTATAGATTATCTCCACCTTTTTATACCTGCCTTTCATCCATTTCTTCTATGTCAATTCTCAAATCCGTCAGTGATGCCTTAGTCCATCTTGGTTGGCGTCAAGTCATGTTTGATGAAATGAGTGCTCTTCAGAATAGTGGAACTTGGGAACTCATCCTGTTACCGTCTGGGAAATCTGTTGTTGGTTGCAGGTGGGTCTTTGCTATCAAAGTTGGTCCTGATGGTATTATTAACCGTCTCAAAACTTGTCTTGTGGTCAAAGGTTACACACAAATTTTTGGTTTGGACTATGGTATCACCTTTTCTTCAGTGGCAAATATGACTTTTGTTCGCTTATTCATAACCACAGCTGCTCTTCAACAATGACCTTTTTACCAACTTTATATCAAAAATGTTTTCTTAGTGAAGATTTGTAGGAAGAAATTTATATGGAACAACCTCCAAGCTTTGTTGCTCAGGGGGAATCTTCTAGATTGGTATGTCATCTTCAAAAATCTTTACATGGCCTAAAACAATCTCCTAGAGCCTGGTTTGAAAAATTTAGTAGTGTTGTTCAGCAGTTTGGTATGACTCACAGTGAGACAGATCATTCAATATTTTACCGTCACTCAAGTATTGGGTGTATCTATTTAATAGTATATGTTGATATTATTCTTACACGTAGTGATCACCGTGACATCTCCCAGATGAAGCAACACCTTTGTCACCACTTTCAGACTAAAGATCTTGACAAACTTAGATATTTCTTGGGAATTGAGGTAGCATAATCCAATAATGGCATTGCTATATCTTAGAGAAAGTATGCATTGGATATTTTAGAAAAAATTGGGTTGATAAACTCAAAATCCGTTGACACATCCATAGATCCCAATACCAAAATCCTACCTAATCAGGGGGAGTCTCTCTCAAATCATGAGAAGTACAGAAGATTAGTTGGAAAATTAAAATATCTTACTGTTACTCATCCTGACATTTCCTTTGCAGTTAGTGTGGTAAGTCAATTTCCTAATTTCTCATGTGCAGATCATTGGAGTATAGTCATTTGTATATTAAAATACATTAAAGGATCTCTTGAAAAATGTTTGTTATATGATCACAATAACCAGGCTAAAGTTGTCTATTAGTTAGACGTGACTGGACAGGATCTTCTTCTGATAGAAGATCTACTTCCAAATACTATGTTTCTATTGGAGGTAACTTGATCTTTTGAAAAAGTAAGAAACAAAGTGTTGTAGTAAGATCTAGTACAGAAGCAGAATATAGAGTTATGGCCTCAGCCACTTGTGAACTTGTTTGACTTAAACAATTACTTAAAGGATTGCAATTTTGAGATATCACTCAAATGACAATTATATGTGACAATCAGACTGCTCTTCATATTAGCTCTAGTCTTGTCTTTCATAAAATGACCAAACATATTGAAGTTGACTGTCATTTTATTTGAGAAAAGATTGTATCTGGAGACATAAGACCGCGTTTGTTAACTCATGTGAACAGTTAACACCAAGTCTTTACTGGGACTTATAATTGATTATATTTGTAACAAGTTTGGTATATATGATTTATATGCATCAACTTGAGGGGGAGTGTTAAATATTTTAGATATTCTAGATATTATTAGTCACAATATATGTATTTACCATATTTACTTGTATGACTCTTAATTATAAATATATTATCCTATGTGTAGTTTAGACACAAGGGAATTAACCTTATACCTAGTTTTTCACTATATTCAACATGTTCAAAAGGAGTATGATTTTGTTTCTAATAAGAATAGCATTAACAAAAAAAATTGAGTAATAAAGGAGCAACCTATTACCAGTGAAGATCTATCAGCTAAAACTGAATCAGCAACGTCTTTTGCAGTCCATTCACTCCTATCCTTTGATTTTATATAGCTTGCATTTGGTGGACCTATCTGAATTTAGTGTAAAAAACTTGAATATATAACAAAAACTACTTCAAATAAGTATGAAGTTGAGAAAATACCGTGACAGAAATGATGACATTATCAATAAAGTCAACACGCTCGGACACAATGCGCAGGCGTGCATCAGCTGCATGAAATTTACAGATGAATGTTTGTCCATAAAAAGAAAATTACAAAGCATGCATCCAGTACCTTAAAGCAAAAGATCAGTATTAACTAGTTAAATTTCTATCATTCAGATATTTTAATCACAAAGCTGATGGCTATCAAATCTAAATGGTAGCTGTTTTATAACAAGCTCACACTGAAACATGACCTCTATTCTGAAATTATTTGATGAGATATTTTTGCCTAACAAAGGAAAAGAACAAAACTTACGAGAAAGTGGTGCAGCTGACGAATATCGCTCTGGCTTTCGCGATTCTACCCTTTAAATATATGGAAAGAGTTAGCTTCCTACAATAATCAAGGGAAATTTCCAGACAAGAAGAGGAGTTGTAAACCAAATACAGCTATGTTAGATGTACTAGCACTAAATCCCATTGGATACATGTTACTGTCTTAATGACACTATTAAATATTGTAAAAAACATTAGATCAAGTTGGAAGTTGAAACAACCCGTATCATTTTACTTGCTATAAATAAAGAAATAAATAAAATATGAGAAATGCCAGCAACACATTTTTCTAACACCTACTTCCATGAATCTTAATATTTTGTGATTTCTAAGAAAATTTAGTCAATAGTAGTACGTTGAAAATAGTGTGTTGCTAGCATTTCCCATAAAATGTGCACACTTGACATACCATTTGAGGGAAATATTGTCGGAAGGCGACTCAACAGGGTACAGATAAGAATAGGCATTTATTTCATCAAAAAACGAAGCCATTTTGGGCTCTTCTTCAGCAAAAGCCACTGCAAGACAGCAAGAATAATGATAAAACAAATGTGTCTCAATTGCATCACATAATACAACACATGTCAAATAATCTCATATTCTCAACAAGCACCAAATTCACACACAGAATGCAAGAGGGATACCTGAAAGTGGCCATGTCAGAGAAACCGAAGTCAAGCCTAACAGCATCAAATCCCTTCTAAAAATCCTGTGTTGTGAAGTGGGTTTTAGCGCACAACATGAAAAGCGTGATCTTTCCTCGGATAATGGCCATTTTTGTGGGTTAAAGATAGCCCTTGAATTGCTTTTGGTAAACACAAGCAAAAGGGTTTAGAAAAAAGAGAGTAAAATGAACATAAATTAATAAATAAATAGAAATATTCAAAGGGCTAAGTAGAAGTACCTGAAGATAAGGTTATTAGGAAGCAGAGTAGAAGTAGGGAAGAAGAAGGAGAGGGAGAGGGGGAAGAAAGTAAAACCATTGGTAGCTCTCAGTTGTGTCATCCACCACCACACTGTAACATTATCCTATTTTCATCACTTCCCTTTTATTTGTATTCTTCCAACAGCATCTTCTCATGTGTCTCTCCACATGTTCTTAACAACATAAGAGGAAATAGGTTCAGAATAATATTTACCAGTTACTGCTATTCAAAGAAAATTTTTGTGGACTTTCTTGTTTTTCATTTTAATTTTTTTTTCATTTTAATTTATTTTTCATAAATAAATTTAAGTTATTGTCTTTTTATTTAACTTTAGATCAACTTTTGGATAAAAATGTTTTTGATAAAACAACATATTGTAACAGTATAAACAACAGAAAAATATTTTTTAATCTTCTTATTTTCCTGCAAGCAACATTGTTTCATGATTTTAAAATATATCTCAACATTGTAATACTTTTATATTATTACTTTGTTTGTGTTTCATTGTCTTCCAATAAAAAGATGAATTGTAGGTTAAATAGTTGGTTTATATTGTTCTTCATGTGATGTACTACCGTGTGTATTACAAATATATTAGTATTTTAGTTTGCACAATATACAAAATCATTATTTGTTTTATATAAATAAAGTTTATAAAACAAATGGATATTATATATAAATTATATTGTAATTAAAATAAAAAAAATGTTTTAAACATATAAATTAGGATTTATATTTATAATAAATAGTTTATATGGAGATACAAAGTTTTTTTAACATTTGACGATTTCTTTTGAAAATATTTAAATTTTAATTTGAACAAAAATATGAAAATGACATCTTGAAAAAATAGCATGTTAAAAAAAAAATCTTACTCAATAGAATATTTAATTAGTCAAATTTGATTTAACTCGTGAGAGCTCACGTCTTTGTGTTTTCTTAAACATATTTTACGTCTTGTTAGTTTTAGATTTCATTGATTCATTTTGACTTAACCAATATATTTGTCAACGTGATCGTAGCTTTTCGATCAATTATAATGGGTTGTGTTTCATGTTTCTATAAGAGTATTTTTCATATAATTTCTCTTCAATTTTTCTCAAAACAAACCACTTTCATTTTAATTTTCTTTCTCACGTATTTCTCTTCTTTCTTTGTGTCATTTCTTTATCTTTCTTCCTTCTACTTCTTTCTTATTTAAAAAAAAAAAACAAAGAATGATTTCTTCAAAAAATTTCTAACATAATTTTAGAGTTAAAAAATAAAAATTCATGTAAAATAAAGAAAATTTATTGCTAATTTTATATATATATATATATATATATAAAACAAATTATCATTTTTTTTTATTATAGATATACCTACCATTCCATGTGGCACTGTAATTACGTGGGTTAGCACGTATATTGTAGTCAAACGACAAAAAAAAATTAAGATATAAGGCTCATAAAAAGACCTAGAAAGATACTATAAATGGATGATACTTTTAAATTATGAATATTATTTATATATTAATTGTCGTCTAAAAATTCATTTGACTACTTGACTATTGAAGTATACTTTGACCGACACAACAAGTACGATTATTTCAATAAAATTGTTTCGGAAAATAATATATTTATTATTATTTTTTTAATACATATGTAATAACTTTAAACTGCAATGGTTGTGAAACAGAATAATTAAAATAAAATGTTTTTTATATTTTTAGGTCCAAATTAAAATTCTACAACTTTCTATAACCCTTCTTAAGGTTTCAATTTTTTTATGTTTTATCTTTAATTTTAATTTTTTTTTTATAAAATCATGTATCTAAATTCATAAAAAAAAGTATCACTTGTTCTCTAAAAATAACATAGAAATTATTTAAATTTGTTTGTAATAAATTTTGTAAAAAATGTTTTTTTTTCATTCATCACATTTTATATTTTTTAATAAATTTTAATTAATTCAGTAAGTTGATGGTGTATTTTGGATGATGTGAAATACGAAGTAGTTGATATATTTATATTCATCTATGGTTTGCCGCCAACACAAGTCCTATAAAAAATCCTTTCCCTCTTCCAAATTTCTTCACAATTCAAAGCATTTTATTCAATCAGAGTTTCGTGTTACTGGTTTGTTCTTCTTCCCTCTCATCCGAATTTTTTTTCTTTTTTCACGTCCAAGTTCAATTTTTTTTCCATGAAATCCGTCTTTTTTCTTGAATCGCCCCAACGCCTTAGAAAAAAGAAAGAACGAACTTGATTCATTTGAGTTACCTTGCTGGTTAAGATCATTACAGTTTATTGGAGGTTGTTGTCGTGGGTAAATGAAAGACTCATGAAATTCTCCAACTTCTTAGTTTTTTGCGGTGGAAGAACATTACAATTTAAAGTTCATTCAAGAATCCATTAATAACGGACGATTTTATTTGAGGTTTTAGTCTTGGGTGTATAAAAGAATCATGAAATTACCAAAAAAAAATTTGTTAATTTGTTGTGGAAGAACGTTACAACTAAGAATCCATTAGTACTGACTGAATTTACTAACATTTTTGTTTGAATTTCCTTCTTTTATTCAAATGGGGTTCCCAGAATCAAGTCTACAATGGGAGAAAAGTCTTGTATGAACCAACGTGCAACCTTACACGTTCCAGTCTCCAATGCTCACGAAAAACTATTTTCTGAGAAGCCGGAAGAAGTAGATCCCTACAATCAGGAAGAACTAGATTCCAGCAACAAGAAAGAGTTAGATTCCAAGAATCAGGAAGAATTAGATTCCAAGAATCAGGAAGAACTAGATTCCAAGAATCAGGAAGAACTAGATTCCAAGAATCAGGTGGAACTAGGTACCGAGAATTACGAGGAGCTAGATCCCAATAATCACGAAGAAGGAGATTTCAAGAATCAGGATGAAGTAGATTACAAGTCCCAGGAAGAAAATGGTTTCATGAATGACGAAGAAAATGGTTACTTGAATGACGAAGAAAATGATGCCAAGAATCACGAGGAAAATGATTCTCAGAATAACGAAGAAAAAGATACCAAGAAAAAGTATCAACCTCAGTTCGATACAAACCTTCAACTTCTCGAGGCTCAGATCAAAACCCTTACTGAGTCTTTGCGAATACTGCAGACTGGCTACGCATTTTGGCTTTCACCGTCGCATATGAAGAACAAAGTTTACAAGAATCATGAAGAAAAAGATATAAAGAACAAATATTTACCTCAGTCCGCTCAGAGCCTTATTGAACATCATATTAAAAACCTGACCGAGTCTTTGCGTGAAATGCATCCCGACGAACTATCTTGGCGTTCATCGCCGCAGAATATGAAGAACAAAGTTTCCAATAATCATAAAGAAAACGATTTTAAGAAAAAGCCTTTGCCTCTGTCCGAGCAGCACCTTATTGAAAATCATATTAAAAACCTGTCTGATTCATTGGGTGGAGTTCTGCCCAAACAACCATCTTGGCTTTCATCGCCGCAGAGTATGAAAGACTTGGCTGAGGTAGAAACTGAGATGGATATTGAATATCTAAAGGAGTCATTTCCTGATATTGCTGAACAATCCCTCAGAGATATATACCTTGCCAACGATTGTGATCTGGGAAATTCTGTTGACATGATCAGCGATCTTGAGGTAATCTTTTATATATAGGCTTTGTCATCTCAAAGGCAGTATTTTTTGTTGAGGGGTTGTGTATATGTTGGATGAATCATTGGTTCGGTATGATGCTAAGTGGAAGTTTATATTTGAGATTATTTCTCGTGTGATCTTCTGCTATATATTCAAATGAACACGAGCTTAAAACTTAGAACCTAGTATTGTCATAGCAATCTGTTTCCTGGTACAATGAATTGCTAGAATTCATTATATTTGGTTATACTTTTCAATATACTTGTTTTTGTCAGATACTTTTTTGACCAGTAATTACTTGTTTTCACCTTACAGGGTGTGTATGATGAGTTAATGGAAAATGATAATCTTCCTGAATCTGACTGAACCAACAGATGATTCTACTTCACCAAATCCCAAGAAATTAACAATTGAATAAATTTGTAACTCATATTTGAGCAAAAGTGTATAAATAGCAAAGTTTATCTTTGACACCACACATACATAGTTTTTTTTGTTTCACTTATGATCTGCAATGTTACATTCTGATAGGTTACTTTTCTTTGTGAAATAGTACAATACAAGTCCCCTTAATTCTTCTTAATCATCCTACATATGTGCATCTGAAAAATGTTCAATTATTATGTAAACAAAATGTATGTTTGATTAGACTTTTACAAATTTAATTTATATCTTTTTACAATTCCTACTAATTCTTTTATTTTATGTAAATATGGGAATTTAATGGTTTTTATATCTTTTTAGTATTATATTTATTACTTCTTTTCCTTTTCTTTTCTTTTTCGTCAATGAAACAAATTAAATTCTACTGGTTGAAGTGGGTTTTGTATGCAACAACTAATATAGACATTAATTATTACGGCTATTTGTTTTACATATTTTTTTCATATATATATATATATATATATATATATATATATATATATATATATGAAGGTGAGAATATTTATTCCCGTATTTTTCAAGTGACTATGAAAATATATTTTTATTTCAGTGAAAAGGAAACAATTTATATATCTCATATTATTGGAAGTTATTGTTTATAATAACTAACTATTTTCACTACATTATTTTATATTTCTTTTTATTTTTATTTTTCAATTTTAAATTAAATAAATATTTTTTTCTAAAATTATTGAGTGCAAACCTAACAAGTTATATGAATATTATTCTTAAGTATAATATAATTCGGAGAACATTTTCAGAAATACAAAATTAAACTGTCACAAAATATTTCAGAAATACAAAATCATAAGTATATTTTTTAATAATAACGAGCATAACCAATAATTGATTAAACACATTTTTAACAGTTAATACGTCCACGGTTGAAAAAATCTGAGTTTATTTTTCCGTGGCTCTCGGTCTCAACTATCATCATCGTTTTCAATGATCCAAAATTTTCCGTTTAATTTCAACGCGTTCGTTAAACAGGAAAGAATATGCGTGCACTTCCAACCGTGGAACTGCATTCAAATTTTTCCCTTGCAATCGCAAACCGACACATCAATTTCCGGGTTTCCAAGTTGCTTTCATTTGATTTGATTGAGCAATTCTTGTTCTCTTTTCAAGTCACCTCGCATATTCGATGAACCCTCCAAGGAAGTTTTAAACTTTGGTGGAAGAAGGGTTGTATTTCGTAATCGGGTGTCTATGAAAAGAGTCTAAATTCAAAGGTTTTGTATTTTGAAATCCGGTATTTGTTTTAATAGTCGAAAGATATTCAAGTTCTTTGTGGAAAAAGAAACATGGGTGTGGATTACTACGATGTATTGAAGGTTGACAGAAATGCTACGGATGATGATTTGAAGAAAGCATACAGAAAGTTGGCCATGAAATGGCACCCTGATAAGAACCCCACCAACAAAAAAGAAGCTGAAGCCAATTTCAAACAAATCTCTGAGGCTTACGAGGCAAGAATCCTTTCATGTTGTATTTTTTTTTTTAATGTCAATTTAACCATTAGAATTAAACAACACCTGAAATAATTTGGTTTTTGAGAATGGGAAGGGGAAAAGAGAGAGAAAAAAATTAATACACTGTATTTCATTTTGTTTAAACATGTTAGGAATGTCAATAGGATTGTGAAAGGCAAATTGTTGATTTTAAATTTGAGGGTCATGGGTGGTTCTTCTGTGTTGGATTCTGCATCGAATTGTGGTCATAAATTGCATGATTATATGTGAACTTTTTCTAATGAATGGGAGCTCTATGGCACTCAGTCTAATTGTTTCTGTTTAATGCTGGAATATTATCCGGAAGTAATCCTTATTAGTTTGATGCAAGTATTTTCCTCTTACTACAGTTAGATGTCTATGTAATGGGATTAGCTTTGGTGAATTCAGGTACTGAGTGACCCTCAGAAAAGGGTGGTTTACGATAAGTATGGAGAGGAGGGGTTGAAAGATAAGCCACCTGATGAACCATCAAATGGGTTCAATCCCAGAAATGCAGAGGATATTTTTGCAGAATTCTTTGGAAGTAGCCCTTTTGGATTTGCATCATCTGGGCCAGGTAGGTCCAAGAGATTCCCCTCTGACGGAGGGGCAGCAACATTTGGTGGATTTAGTAATAATTTTCGATCAAATAGTAGTACTGGACGGGGGAATGTGCCGAAGAAGCCACTACCTGTGGAATCCAAACTGCCATGCTCTCTGGAGGAATTATACACGGGATCTACAAGGAAAATGAAGATCTCAAGGAAGGTTTTGGATGCTAACGGGTAAGTATAATCATCTTAATTGTAAGTATGTTTTCTTTTCTGAAAATTTTAAAACCAGTGTAGATAAATTTCTCAACAACACTCATACGATGATAGAAAAAAAATAAAATGAATCTCAAGTAAGTTAAAAGAATTTAATTGAACACATTTAAAATATAAAAATTATTGTGAGGATGATTTTCAAGATGACTGTGCAAAATTTTACGTTGACAATAAGTGCACACAAGTTGGCACTAGGAGAAATTTGATTGTAAATTCATTTTATTTTTTGAACCCCTCTTCGAGCTATAATTGTTCAAGACACGAGTGAGTGAGTCCTCTCTGTGTATCCTTTAATGATTTAATCATTCAAACATTGTGAATTCTTCTACGGTTATGATGTCAAAAATTGCAGACGGACAGTTCCGGAAACAGAGATCTTAACCATTGATGTGAAGCCGGGTTGGAAAAAAGGGACAAAGATTACGTTCCCAGACAAAGGGAATCAGGAACCAAATCAACTGGCAGCAGACCTTGTGTTTGTGATTGATGAGAAGCCACATGATATGTTCAAGAGAGATGGGAATGACCTTATTGTGAGCAAAAGGGTATCATTGGCAGAGGCCATTGGAGGAACCACAATAAACCTAAGCACGCTTGATGGACGTAGTTTAAGTGTTCCAGTGAGTGACATTGTGAGTCCTGGTTACGAGATGATTGTTGCAAATGAAGGGATGCCAGTAGCAAAGGAACGTGGTCAAAGGGGTGATTTGAGGATCAAATTTGATGTCAGTTTTCCAACAAAGTTAACCCCAGAGCAACGAGCAGGACTCAAGCAAGCACTCACAACTTGACTCATTCTTCATATCAAATCTTTTGAGTTGAGGCCATTTGAAAGCTGTCATCTATCTCCGTACCCGTTCTTCAATGTTTCTCATATTCGCCTCAAAAGCTGTTGGTTTTCTTATCATTTGTTGTCTTTCTCCATGATTTGTTATTATAAATCAATGTTTTTTCCTTTTTCTTAGGTAGGGGGTGTAATACGTGGCTCCTTCTGTTGTTGTACTTCTTTGCTAAAGATGTAAATACAATATAGGTTCTACATTGCACATAACAGTGGAAACTTGAAAGGAAATGTGTTATACATCTTGTACCAAATTCTTTTTGGGCTGTAACAGGACAATGATTTTATAATTCCTTTCTTTTCTTTTCTTTTCCGCTAATGGAAACTTAAGATTTGGGTATCTCTGGAATCGAATCCGGCCACGTGTGGGTGGATTTGGATGCTTGGGAAAACGATTCTTTTATCTATCACTAAATTATTGTAGCACGTCATTTTATGTTGTTTATTGATAGAATAATACGGATTAGTATAAAAATAATTAGTCGAAAGGGTAAAAGAACCATATTCCGTTATTTTATTACCAAGAATACACTTTTTTTCTTAGACTTTTAAACGTACAGACGTATTAATTCGGGAGAATATTTTTCAAAAGAGAAGTCATAACTCTTGTTAAAACATTTTTAAAAACAGCGTTACGCAAATATCACTAAGATCAAGAAAGGTAGCAGCTACGAGAATTACATAGACCACGTGCATGTTTATATTTCTGCTCAAAAAGCACGTTCACGTTCCTACGGTTTCTCTCATTTACATTTGACAGTGTTGAATTGTGTACAAACGACAAATCAGACACACCCTATATAATCGCTATAGCCAACATGGATGGAAGCCATAGTCTGCCCGTTTCTTTACGAATAGAACAGCCAAAGTAACCAAAACGCCAGGAAAATTTGTAAGTAAAAAACTACAGCATGTAAAATTGTTGTCCCTCGCATTTATTCAGCGGAACATCTACTGTCGGCAAACAAAAACATGAGTAAAATGGTCATTTGTTTGATCTACTACGGGGTATTGATGCTACAAAAAGAATAGCTCGACACCTTACAATAAGCTTACATACTACATATATGAAAGACATAAAGAAATTAAAAGAGGACTCAAGTTTATTGCGAAAAGAAACTAATATCCCCTACTTCTAGACACATTTTGAGACCAGGTAGCGCCTTGCGCAGGCGCTCCGTAGGGCGGTCCACCTCTTGGCTGTAGGCTGCTACCCTGGGGAGAAGGAACCCACTGAGAGTCAAAATTTCGTTGGCTATGCGTCACATTCATCGGGGGTTGCAGATATTGTGGTGTCATAATTGGCTGTTGTTGTGAACCCGGAAATGATTGATTCAAAATGTGCGGTCGAAGATGGAAGTTGTGCATTGTCTGTTGGGGAGGAAGCTGATTCTGGGAGGTTTGGGGCTGCCATTCAGGAATGTCATCATCATCATCATTCCACGGTTGAATTGTCCCCCCAAATTTATCCTGCCAATTTACTGAAGGTGCACTTGGTTTGTTTTGCCCATATTTGTATACAAGTTCCCTCATTTGTTCTACAGGTCGTGGTGGTGGTGGAACAGGGTTAACTGAGTGTAATGTAACCATATTCGATGGTGCCTTTGGTTTTTGGGCCAAGGGTGTTGGAACCGAACTGCCAGAGAAATTAAACTCCGGTAGGTCATCCTCGACTCGGGCAGCCGATGGCCCAAATCCAGGAGGTACATCATCTTCGTCATCATTCTCATTCACAGTGGTCTTAAAGCCCGTAGAGGGCACTGCTTTATGGGTAGAATTGGTATTCACATTTATATCTTGCTGTCTCCTACTGAAGTATAGTCTTTTAGAGCTATGTTTGTGGTGTGATGCAGTGGTGGGTGATATAGACGAAGTTAAATTAGTTTTTCTCCATACAATAATACCAATTAGACCATTATCAATAGAATTAACTGCCTCAATTTGTTCCTTTGGAAGTATGTTGCTGAGCATTTCAACTGTTTTCTTATGAGGCGGGCAAAAGTAAAGTTCTACTCCGTGCACAGGCTCAGCAAATCCTACTCTTTCGTCCGAAATATACGAGTCAGCCACCTGCATGCAAAGGTATCGTCTCTTGTATAAAAACACAATCCGCATCTATGATGTAGAGTTGAGAACCAAACTGGCATAGCTATAATTACCTCACGGAGAGTTGATTGCTCGTCCGACTCTTTGCAAAGGAAATGTGACACCTGCAATACAAACAAAAAAAACTTTTTTATTTCACTTAAGCTAAAAAAGAAAGTGACGCGAGAAAGTTCATCGGGTTAACATCAAACTGAAAGTGGTCTAAGTCAGTCAGTCATGCAGCGTATTCAAATCAGTTAGCCTCGCTGGTCTATATTTATTCCGTGGTACAACATCCTTATGGCCCCGTACATAACAAGTTTGGTCTTCCACTAAAAATAAAAAAGAATTTTTGGGCGACTTTTTGCATTATTTTAATAAAAAAATCATTCTTCAGTTCTTTACCCCCATTTTTCATTGTGTCAAATTATTATATGCAGCATATCGCCCAAAGAATGAGAAACTTTTAGTTCCAGCCACCAGAATTAGTTTTATATTTACCAAAATCAATTCAACCCCCTAATACATATTCTATCAGTGACAACTTAAAAGCTACACGAACAAATATTCAATTTCTACCACCGTAACAACACATTTTCTTGGTTTCATTATTTGTCACTAACATCTTATCGAATCACAAGTTTGGTCTTCCACTGAAAATAAAAAGAATTTTTGGGAGACTTTTTGCATTATTTTAATACAAAATTCATTCTTCAGTTCTTTACCCCATTTTTCATTGTGTCATATTATTATATGTAGCATATCGGCCCAAGGATGAGAAACTTTTAGTTCCAGCCACCAGAATTAGTTTTATATTTACCAAAATCAATTCAACCCCCTAATACATATTCTATCAGTGACAACTTAAAAGCTACACGACACAAATATTCAATTTCTACCACCGTAACAACACATTTTCTTGGTTTCATTACTTGTCACTACAAAGAATACCTCATCCTGCCAGTCTTACCAACAAATGGTCATTTCTCATGCACAAAATGTATAATTCAAGATACTTTAAATTAAACAAGTGATTAAAAATAAAATAGCATCAAAACTGTGACATTTTTCCCCAACTTTAATCATTGCTTTCTGTATGGGTGGTGGTGGATTAACAGACAAGATTCAAATAAAGCTCTAGCACAACGAAAGGTAACTTGAAATACCATGATTGCACGGCTCCTGGACAGTCGAAGATCCTGTAGAAATTTCTCAAATGCATCTAACCGAACCCTTCCCTTGATCTCGAGAAACCCAGGCCAGTCTTTAGCAGCAGTTTTCTCGCCACTTCACAAAGAATTTCAATGCAATATCAATAAAAATAACTGAAATAAGCATTTATTCTCTTTGAACAGCACAAATAAAAGTTCAAACTATATTTTTCAATATAAATAAAAAATGACAAGCAGTCCACAACCCAAACCCATCCCACTCCAAAGATAATACGGTTCTGAATTATCAAAACGGTTGTTCATAAACTGAACTATTACAAGGCTTTACAGTGTAAAAATTTATTAAACCAAAAACCAAATTATTTTATCGGATTGGATTGAGTTTCAAAATATAATTTTAAAAACCAATCAAAACCAAACTTATATGAACTTTAATAATTTATTTGTAAATTTTCCAAAAAAATTCATTCTTGGAGAAATTTATGAAATTACTTATTCAATTTATCATTTCATAATTTCATTATCCCAATTACATCTCATTAGGACGTATTTTGGTTTAGTATTTAAATTAATTCTGTTTTCATTACATCTCATTACATGTTTAATGGCCTCAAGACATGTCAAACCACTAGACTTGTTTCAATATATATATATATATATATATATATATATATATATATATACACACACACACAAACTAAATTATACTGCGCAATTGATCTTGACCTCAATTTGAATATAAAAGTTTGGTCCAGTAAGACCAACAAACCATGTTATATAATCGTACAAAATTTTTAATGCAAAATTAAATGCAGGTTTAAACAAAACTCTAATCATTAATTAGTCATTGCCAAACAAAATTGGAAATAATGGAAGCAAAAAGATTACAGAAGGCGGAGATGATTCTAAATTTCAATATTAGTTGGGATAATCATGAGTGAGGAAGTGACATGCATGTTCAAATAATAAAATCCAGAGTCAAAACTGTCAATGCCCAGCCCAATCCATAACGGCCATCAGATTCGGAATGATTAATATCTTTCATATTATGGCCTGTTTGTTTAACCTTATAAGAAGTAATTTCATGATACGATTCTTTTTCAAAAAAATAAAAAAGTGTGAACTTTATGTTCTGAGAAAAGACGAAAAGCACTAACACAACTTCTCAGGATTTTTGTTTTATTCATAAAAAATATAATTATTATAAACTTAATTAAAAATCCTTTAATTAAAAAAGCGCTTTCCTTTAAAAAATCAACCACAAATGGGACCATTACTGATCTTTCACTTTTTTTCTATACAGTTTAAGAATATTTGCATCATATGCTAGATAAAAAGAATGATACGATCTAAAACATGAGCTTCACTACCTCTCAGATGAAAAAAAATTGAACAATCAAATCCATATTAATCCATGCATAAAAGTTCATGGCTAAGTAGCAACTTATCATAAAGATATACTCAAACCATTTGTAGACTACCTTTTAAAGAAGCTTATGACTGACTGAGTGGTAGAGATATTTGGTTGAAGCATCCCTTCCCAGAGGCATTCACCCTTCGTGAGAACTGCATCCTTTAAATACCTATTTTCATTACCGAATCTCCCTTCTGCATGAAACTGATTGCCTTTCAACTCAGTATCGCTGGAAGCAGGCTTCACATCATCAATTGACCTTTCTTTGGTACGACCATC